CTCCAAAATAACCAGAGCAAAAAATGCTGGGGGTATGACTCAAGGAGTGGGTGCCTGCCTAGCAAGCAATAAGCCCTGAGTTCAAACTCCAGTGCTGCTCTCCTCCTCCCCGGTCAAAAAAAAAGCTTTTGTCAATCTACTGCATGAAGCAAAGAAGAGCCCTTGGCAATTAAGTATTGCCTGAGTAGGAGTTAACTAAAATTTCTAGAAGAAAATTCTTTTCCTTTTTGCTCTCTGTACTGTGTTTCCCCCACAGTCCTCAACCAGTCAGTACTACTGTTGCTGTAATTGAGTTTAAAGTGCAGAATTGTTCTGCCATCTTCCTTTTTGTTTCTCAGCATCAGTCTCCTTATCTAGTTTTGGTCTTCAACACAAACCTTGCAGTACTTATTGAAAGTAAGCCAACCTTTGGCGTTGGTCCTGTCCTAATTCACAATTTCTTGGAGAGAACATGGATTTAAGTTTATGACTCAAACATAACAAATATGTTTCTTTCACAAATATTTCATAAGTCAGAAATTAACTCATTGAGACAAGAGGCCTTCCCCACCCCAAATTCTGAATTAATAAGTTTGGTCAAGTTTTAGATACCCAAATCATATGTTCTTAAACAAAAAAATCTTCTGGAATTCCACTAGATGGAAAGACTGGATTTTATTAAATTCTGTCCTCCAATTTTCATTTGGCTTATAATTTGGTACATTTGACAGCTATGTGAAAAACAGATCCAAAAGTTTTTTTAATCTCAAGTCATGACGAACATTGCTTTCAAGTTAGACATTATTATAGGAATACACCATCATGCCCCATCTCTGCCTCAATTTTTTAGTGTTATTCACAAGAAATTTAGCAGCTAGGCACTGGTGGCTCACACCTGTAATCCTAGCTACTCAGGAGACTGAGATCAGGAGGATCATGGTTTGAAGCCAGCCCCTGGCAAATGATTTGTGAGACCCTGTCTTGAAAAAACCCATCACAAAAAAAGGGCTGGTAGAGTGGTTCAAGTGGTGGAGCGCATACCTAGCAAATGTGAGACCCTGTGTTCAAACCCAAGTACCATCAAATATAAATGTATATAAATACAAACTTACCGTGAGACCAAAGAAAGTTAGGCCTCAGGGCCCCTCACCTGCTCAGCCCCATCCAAGAGTCAGAATCATATTCAATTTTGCCTTGATAACTTGGAATATTTTTCTAAAAATAAAGTTCTCAAAAGCTTAGACTCCACTCTACACTGATCTTGTCCACATACTTAATACCTATGTACTTGTGTGTCAAATCTCTACCTTCTGCATAGATATTTCTCCTAAACTCCAGATCCCTACATGTGCTTGCATTCTTTCCCTTCATTTGCAAGTTCCATAGGTACCTCAAATACAATCTGTATAAACTGAACTAATCGTCATACCCAACCCCTGACCTGCTCCTCTGTCTCTGAGTCTTCTGTGAATGTTACTCTTGTATACTGGGTAAGTCTTTGAAGCTTGAGAAATATCCTAACTCCCTCTTTACCCTCAACCATCTTTCCTATCTAGCTCTAAATTTTGTAGGTTCTATACTGCACCACATCCGGCCTCATAGTTTCCTATCTGCTTCCTCCAACAGCTTCTTCATAGATCCCCTCCATTCACTGTCTCCCCTTTCCATCCTCCATATTTGCCAGAAAATTCCTTCCATACGCTGGTGACTTTATTCTCCTGATCTGCTACTCTAAGCCCTATTGCTTTCAGGATAAAATCCAAATTCCTTACCAAGATGGAGAAGACCCTTCCTGACTGCCCTTTGCTGTGGGCTCATCTCTCAATTCTCAGCTAAAAACATATTAATCTTTATACCACAACATCACGTATATTGACCCCTGTGTGTGATCCCCCCTCATCTGACTACCTCATCTCCCCACACACTTTGTCAAGATTCAACTCTGACATCATCTCTTTCAACAGCTTTTATAGAATAAAAACAAAAAGATAAGTAAATTCTCTTTGTGCTAACTAACACAGTATACTAGAATGAGCTGAGTTATTTTGTTACTCTTAAAGTAAGGAAGCTATGGATTCTTGGTCCTCTATATTTACAATTTTCTCTTTAGCCTGGCCCATAGTAGGTGGTCAGCAAATTGTTGAATAAGCAACACCTGAAGTATGGGCAAAGCAATGATATGAAGCCAGTATATGCCTCAATTTTCTTAACCGTTTTTCCTCCCATTGCATAGACTGAGTTAGACCATAAATTAATCACATCTGCCCACTTTGGCTTGGGCCTAGGTTGTAGTAACATGGCAAATGCACCAAGAAGGTCAGAATCATCGGTAATTAGGGGACCCAATATGGTGCCTCCCTCCAGAAAATAGTGAAGAAAATTGAAATCAGCCAGCACACCATGCATTCTTGCAAAACCAAGATGAAGAGACAGGCTGTGGGAATCTGCCAGTGTGGTTCCTGCATGAAAACAGGCTGCTGTTACCTGGACCTACAACACCACTTCTGCAGTCACAGTCAAGTCTGCCATCAGAAGACTGAAGGAACTAAAAGACAAGTAGAAGTTCTACCATTTGAGACATCCCTAGCCTACAATAAAATGGGTTAATCTGTATAACCAAAAAAAAAAAAAAAAAATGACATCCTGTGACCCCTAGATCAAAACATGTGAAGTCATCCATCTTGTAGGATGTATGGTTTGCATACTCATATCCAATCCCCCCCCACAATAAAGTCAGCACTGGTCTTGTTCACAAATCATCAAATTAAATAGCAGACGCTTTTCAAGTGTCTACTAGGAATCAATACAATTAGATTCTGTTCAGGTTACCAAAGAGATAACATAGGGAAACCAAAGCTAAGTCATCTGGTTACAGATGTTTAACCATAAGAGTGCTAGGTCAGGTAGTATAGGAGAAAATGGAACTAGAAAGTATTGAAAATCTGGGAGAGAGAATGCTTTCCGGGTCTGGAGTTATTCAGGCTTCATGGTTGTGAATCTGGGTTGACTCTTAAGACATAAGGATGAAGAGCTCAGGCTTCAAAGGTAGCTCTAAGGTAGGAATACAGGGAGAAATAAGGAGATATGAGTCTGAGAGGTAAGAGGTAAACCAGAGAGCCTGTTTCATGGGAGCTAAAAGAGCATTTCAAGAAAAAGTAGGTGTGGTAGATTATATGTAGCCAAAAATTCTTTACACTTCATCCCAGCAAGAGGGGAAGTCTGTTTCCATACCCCTTGAATCTTAGTTGGCCTTAAGACTTGTACTGGCAATAGAAAGTGTCAGTGATGTGAGAATTTCAGAATGTAAAAGGGCCATGAGGTTTCTTCACCCATCACTACACGTTGGAATGCTGCATGTGAAGTGACATTAGCCTCCTGACAGAGAAGAGGCTGTATGGAGGAGAACTGAAGACTGACTACCTCCACCTCTGACCACCTATGTGGTCAAGCCCTTTGTGATCATGGTCCTTCCATTCCCAGTGACCACCCTGCCCTTGTCACTCATGAGTGACTCCAGGTGAAACAAGCAGCGCATCACCCAATCAAACCAAAGAGTCCTGGGAAGCAGTCAAGTTGTTACTTTCAGCAATGCATGGGGGATGGTTTGTTATGCAGCAGTAGGTAACTGACAGGAAACCAGTATAGGAAAGGTCAAGAAATGGAGGAAAATGAATACATGTGGAAGTCGCCGGTGTCTTGGCATCTCAGAACTAAAAAGGTCTGAATCTGGCCCAAATGTTTCCAGTTTCCAGATGAATGCATTAAGTCTATCAAAGTCTGAGGCTAGTAATTATTTGAATTATGTATTTCTAATTAATAGTTTTATTCAGATTTTATGCTTGCCAAGAAATCTAAACATTTGGCTTCAACTTACATAAATTCAGGAATGTGCTAGTTGGACTGAGAGTATACCCAGGCTTCCTGGCAACTGCATTTTCATTATAAATCAAACATTTTCATCTTCATTTTACTTTTTAAAAATGGCCTTATCTGTATCAAAATTCAGCTATACACTCTAACATTTAATGTATGGTTCTAATTGAGAAAAGTTCTTCTGCTTACTACAGTAAAATATTTTAAATTTTTCAAGCATTTAAAAGGGCATAAAACACAGAAAAATCCCATATTCTGTTTCTTACCCCGCACTAAGCCAGGATTAGCAGTTTTGTCTATATAAATGTGTGTGCACACGTATACCCACCATCAATTCACCTATCAGGGTTATTCTTCAGATAAAAGAGAGTCACTATGCCCACACTCTCTTTGAAAGTATTTCTAAAAGAAAATCACAGTCTGTAAAAAACATATTTTCTCCCATTATATTAAAACCCAGGAAGAAGTATTCCTACATTTCCAAGTGTAAAGATTTAATTCTAAGAAGAGAAACAAGTTTCCCTTCATTCCTAGCCCCTATGGGACATGTCTTCCCCCAGGCCATTAATTTTGGCATAGAGCTGTGAGCTGTGCTACCAACGGGAAAAAGTTTCCTGTGGCCCACTTCTCTCCATGTGAAATTTATTTAACCAGTTTACTAAATGCCTGTTCATGTAAAAATAAAACACTTCACCTTTCTTAAAATTAACTTCACTTATCATATTTAAAGCAATTGTAGCCATTTAGACCCAAGACTTTTTCAGCTAATTATAGCCTTTACAAAAGTTTAGGGCTTGAAGTCCTGTATGTCTGATAGAGATGCAAGCTGAAGCTATGATCCTGGCCTAGAGTGCCCATGGTATCCCAGCACCTACCCACAACCCCAAGAAAATGTCCTCTCTGAGGAACTATAAGGAAGAGAGAGGTTCTTAATCACGACTGAAAAGAGCTTAGAAAGCCTCACTTGTACTTTCTCAGCTGAGTCACCCACATGAAAGACAAGACAGGGGAACTGGAATTATGCATGGAGACGTAGTGTTACAGCAAAGAGAATACCCTAAAATGATTTTATATATTATGACTTAGTTGTATATAAAACTACATTTTTGACCAAAGCCTGTTCAGAGACCAATGTAGCAAATACTTACGGTTTTGCTAGCTCCTTTGATATTTGTTCCAAAGAGCACCCCTTTGTCTCAGGTATAAATACAACCACAAAAACTAGGCATGCAAGACTCATGATTGTATATGTAAAGCACACCCATGGCAAGCCAATAAGATCTATAAGAGACAAAAGGAATTGATTAGAGATGAATAATGTGATTCCATTTGTGAGCACTTCTTCTCAGAGCATACATAAAGCCATACGCATTCTCACCCATGCCACTAGCATCCACAGAAATAGAATTCACATATTTAAAATGTAGCCAGCTCTTGAAATTTCAGTTTTATAAAGTACCTCAGTTTCCATGGGTAAATAGCTGTCTTGTAATTATCACAATTTAAACCTAATTTGGTCTTCTTGGTGAGTATGTCTCTTTTTCAAAATGGGAAAGTATTGACATAAAAAGCACATGCTCTTTGCAAAAACAGAACCTCAAACAAGGCGGAAACACATAATGCAGAAAGTAAAATTTCTCACCCTCCACAATTTCCCTTTTGAGAATTGCCCCTGTAGTAGTTTGGTTTCTATTTGGTGGACATTTCTTTAATGACATATTTGTACAGATGAACTTTTCTTGGAATGAGCTTACCCTCCTTTACTCTGATTTGAGTGAGTTACTTTATGCTTACAATATTTCATAATGTTTGGTAGCCCTCAGTGTAATGCATCTGAAATCTGTAATGCTTCTAAATCCAGAAGAAAAAATGGAAATGCGTGCAGTGAAAGGCACCAAGATCCTCAAGATTTCAATGAATTTCACTCGCTAGGCTTCCTTTTTCCCTTGACCACTTCTAACCAAAAATATGCTGGCCACATTCAAGGTACACTAACTGATCAAGTTTGGTCCTGGGTGCATGTGAGTCTGCTGTTTGCATTGTGCTGGCCCCTGGCTCAGCAGCAGAAAGTCCAGTGTGACAGGGATCAGTGGGGAAGTAGCAGACTCTTCTTGCACATAGGCTCAGACCAACTGTGGACAAGATTTGCAAATAGCCCTAACAGCTGCAAGCCACAAATCACAGTTGGTCAAGCAGGAATACTGGCTGAGCGGTTGCATCCTGGGGCCATTTTTATAACTGCCGTGTGGAAGGATCTAAGCATAGTAACCACTTGTCAGTGAATTGGGCTGAGGTGAGGAGCAGGAAGAAGGAAGAGCTCTGAGTTATTTCAGCAATTTTAATTAATGTTTTCTCTCTGCTTGTCTGGCTGCTGGTATAGAGTTTTGCTCAGCTGATTGCTTAATAAAGTGCTTGTAAAATTGGCCTTCCCTCACCAGAGCACAAAATCTCAATATAGGAATTGGTAAACCCCAAAAGGTTGTCTCTTCAAACTTGTCCCCAGTTGTGTTTAAGAACTTTCAGTAACAGAGAGATAGCTTACCACTTCACAAAGCCTCTTGCTGCCAACTCAGGCAGCTTGCTCTATTAAAATGTTCTTCCTTACTTAGAGCTCAAACCTGCCTTTTAGAATTGTGCTTCATCCTCTGCATAACACACATTGAATCTGCTCTTCTTACCCCTTCTTCATGAGAGCCACTCAAATATTTGTTACCTCCATCCTTTCCCCAAGAATCCTCTGGTCAAGCCAAACATCTCAATTCTCCCAACTATTCCTCACCGAGCATGTGCTTGCTGTCCAGCTCACCCTCCTTTGGTGGACACGCTGTGACTTTTAAACTGCTTTCTTAGAATATTTTACTCACATCTGAACACAGCACCACAGCTGTGGCATGCCCACTACGAGAATGTTTGCCTGTCTGGAACAGTCTTCTTGATTCAGATGACATTTCAATAAAATGTCAGTATCCAACTGAGAGGTAGTGGTTCATGCCTGTAATCCTGTAACTTGGGAGGCAGACATTGGGAAAATCGAAGCCAGCCAGGCAAATAGTTCTCAAGACTGGGGGTGTGGTTCAAGTGGTAGAGTGCCTGATTTGTAAGCACAAAGCCCTGAGTTCAAACTCAGTCCCACCAAAAAAAAAAAAATGTCAGGGTCCAAAGGTTTGTTGCCAAGAAAACCTCATATCCTTCAGGTCTCTTTAACCTATACTTGGAAAATTGTTTCTTAAAATAAGTCCAGATCTTCAAGCACTGTAATTAAATGTCATCTAAAAAACTGGATTTGTTTTCCTGACATTTGTTCTAAAAGTCCATCCAGGAGGACTTCTGAATCCTCATTAATTAGTTCAGTATATTAGGTAGACTTCCTAAAGATTTGTCACTTTTTTTCTTTGCTCATCATTTCCCTTCTTCCTTTTATACTGTTCTTTTCCTATATCAAATAGAAGATGAAAGGGGTGTGTGTGTGTGTGAAGGGCACATGTTTGTGCATGTAGTAGAAGTAGTCATTTCATTGTTTCCTTCAATCTTAAATTTTTTGTTAAGATAGTGTCTAACTATGTAGCCCAGACTGGCCTTGAACTCTCCATCCTCTTACCTCTGCCTCCCAAGTGCTGGAATTACAAAGATGTACTTTCACACCCATAAAAATGCCTTTACATTTTTATTTTATTTTAATTTATCTTTGAGTCAGGGTTTTAGTAGTAGGTAGCCTAAACTGGCCTAGAAGTCACAATCCTTCTGCCTCAGCCTTCCAAGTGCTGGGATTACAGGCATGTGGCACCACCCCCAGTTCAATCTTAGGCTATTTCTAAAAGTGGAGGACATAAGAATTTCAAAAATTTATGTAAAAATCTAAACCATGCTTAATTAGGCACTCTAAAAGTTAATTCCAAAAATGATATACTAAATATATAAATGAATGTGTATGTGTGTGTGTATATATATATGTATATGTGTGCATATATACAGATATATGCACATTTTTGAGTAAACATCCACTTTTTTTTTTCTTTTGGCAGCATTGGGGTTTGAACTCAGGACCTTATGCTTGATAGACAGAGGCTCTACCATTTAAGTCACTCCTCCAGTCCAAACATCTACCTTTAAAAATTTACTTACAAACACACACATGCACATATATATACACATACATATATGCACAAAATGAAGAAAACAGGTAATTTGTTTCATAGAATTTTCTCTTATGAATTTTTTTATTACAGTCATGTCACATGACAAACTCATTGGTAATTTTGGAGTATGTTTATCTTGCCTTTCTTAGATGATTCACAATTCAGGATAGCTAAATCACTAATAGGAAGACATCTTAGATGATTCACAATTCAGGATAGCTAAATCACTAATAGGAAGACATTTCTATTTGTATTAGTACTCCAGATAAAAATTTCGAAGGAATAAGAAAAGGTAAACAGTGGGTCTGGGTAAGTAAGGATCATCCAAGGAATCTAATATGGCAAAGTGGGAAACCCCAGACCTGAGGATCCTCCTGACACCAATGCCAAAATTTTACAGACAAAATGACATCATGTATGGGCTATGCCCCCAAATAACTTGGTAGGAGGAATTGCAGGTAGGGTTATAAATGAATTAAGATTGAGAATTACTTAGATTGGGTAGTGAGTATCAGGTTCATTCCTATCTTCTCTCCTTCTGAGTGTGTGAAAATTTCCATATGACAGTGTTCTTTTATAGGGTTTGCTTCCCTGACATTTGTCCTAAGAAGACAAAGGGTGTTAGAGGCACACAGGGTTCTTACCAGTAACTGTCAGAAATGTCAGCGAGATGAGCAGATTGACGCCCCAGTTCATGCTGGAAGTCACAGCCATGGCTCGTCCTCTGATCCCCCCGGGAAAGATCTCGCTGAGTAGCAGCCAGGGCACTAAAGGAAAGGGAAGAGAGACAGTGACAGCAGATTAGTGAACATCAGTGAAACTGAGGGCTGGCTGACTGAGCTCTCTCTGTTCTAGTCCTGCCTGCACTTCTGGTTGGAGGCCAGGGCTATTTCCCACTGCCTTCTCCTGTCCTCCAGCCAAGGGAGCGAGGCCACAGGAGAAACACAGAGAGTGTGACAATGGCCCCCATGACTGCAGTGTGGGTATTGGACACAGTCCTCTGAAGTGCAAAGGGAGAGCCAGCTTTGGACATCTGCCCAGTACAGGAGCCTCAGGGCCAGATTCCGGATGTAACTGCTACAGGATGGTGCATTTTCTAATACTCTCCTTTTCCCTTGACCTTGAAGAAAGTCTGAAGTCATAGCTAACTAGAGGACAGGAAACAAAGCAGATGGAAAGAGGACACCTGCTATTCTCCTTTCTCCCACTTGGTCCTCCTGGCCTGGGGGAAATTGGGCAGAGAGCAATCCTAAATTAAATAGAGCTCCCAGATTTGATTTTTATACCAGACTAGACATTTGAGTTTCTGGAAGGAAAGTCTTCCTGGCACCAAAATTGATCAGAGAACTTTTTATTATCTGAGAGTGACAGGGAACATTATGGTGTTTGCTTGATGGGATTGGAAAGGACAGGAGACCGCAAATTAACTTCTGTTCACAGACTCACAAACCCAGTTTGCCTAATAAAATATCGATGAGTTCCTACTGCTGACTGACTCTACAAATGTTTCTACATTTCCTCATTGATCATCACCAGCCCCTACAAAGCAGGAACTCTTCTACTCCCCTTTTGTTGAAGAGATTGAAATTCTGGGGAGTTAATAACTTGCAAAGATCACAAAGCTCCTAAGTAAGAGAGGTGGCATTGAACCCTGGCAGTCTCTGATCACTATGGTCTCTTGGTAGTGACCCAATAAATACTTGTTAATTCATAAGGATATGTGAATGTAAGCAGATTTGACTCTGCAGAAAGAAGGACTTGGGAGCTGCCCCAGTCCTGGCACCCTCCAGCCTAATGCACTATGTGTTGGAAAGGCAGTGCTTGTGAAGCAACCAACCACATAATCCCAGCCGAGAAGAAGCAGCCAGAAGCCAGGGAGGAGCCCTGCCAGCAGCAACCTTTTGGGCTGTCTGTGCCAGATCTGAGCAGTCAGCAGTGTCTCTAACTGAACAATTTGCCTCTCATGCCAAGATCGTGCTCTGCAGAGAAAACATCTGCTTGTAGAAAAATGTGTTGTTTCAAAGAAAGAAAAAAATAAATAGAATTGTAGAAGAGGACTGGAAAATCTATTTTTTCTTGATTATCTTCTCCAAGTGAATCTGTACTGGGTTACCTTGACAACACAGATAACTGTCACATAAGCAACATAATCATTATTCTAATTAATGAGAAATTTTATTTTATTTTATTCATATTGTTTTTATTATTTTGACGATAATAGGGTTTAGACTCAAGGCCTCGTGCTTGTTGGGCAGGCATTCTACCAGTTGAACCACTCTGCCAGCCCTTTTTAGCTTTAGTTATTTTTCAGGAGTCTTGCGTTTTTACCCAGGGCTGGCCTCAGACTGCAATCCTCCTACCTATGCCTCCCTTGTAGCTAAGATGGCTACAAGGCCACCATGCCCAGTTTATTTACTGAGATGGGGGTCTCTCTAATTTTTTCCAGGGCAGTCCTTAAACTGTGATCCTCCTGATCTCCACCTCCCAAGTAGCTGGGATTATGGATGTGAGCAACCATGCATGCCCAGTCTTAATGAGGCATCCCCTATCTTCCACTCTCTTACCTCACCTCTCTTCCTCCACCCTTCTCCACCCCAAAAGACTTTCACTAGGTTCTTGAAGATTATAGTCTTGGTGGGATCATTTATTCTTAATTAAATCAGTTTAGTGTTTAGTTTAGTGTTTTAAAGTTTGCAAATTGAGGTCGCAGCTCTTAGTACAATGACATCTGCAAAGTTCACAGGAAGCCTTTGTAATGCTTCCTTTGCTCTTGTATTTTTTCTTGGGCAAATACATAAGTACAATACAATTTTATATAAGACATAAAATTACATAAGTACAATTGTTTACACTAAGTAATCTATGTCATGGACCTGTCTGTGCCCCTCATTGGCAACCAGGCATGGTAGTTCACACCTGTAGTCCTTGCATTAGGGATGTGGAAACAGGAGAATCATGAATTCAAAGACAGCCTGGACTACATAGCAAGATCATGTCTCAAAACAAAACCCAAACCAAAACAACAACAGCAACAAAAACCCAAAAAAGAACCACATTGCCCTCAGATGAGAACGAGCAGACTCTGCTGTTGTAGAAAGTGATGGATGTCACCAACGAGAAAACAGGACAGTTAGACAAAGCACTTGTTATATGTGCTCAGTCTGAACTGCCAGATCTTGCAGAGAAAAACTCAAGATTACACTGAAAGTCTGTCCTAGGCCCACATTCAATGCAGCAGCTGAGTCAAGTCCTGAGGCAATTTCTCTAGCTCCAGTAATGAACTGAAGAATGAAAAATAAACTTCTCTCGGTCTGTGTTCCAGTGAGAACTTGCCAGGCAAGCCCCACACCTGACATCTCCAAAAAAAAATTTATTACTGCTGAAAACTTCTACTTCTTTTTTTTTGATGTAGTGGGAAGAATTCAAGAATTGATAACTTGGTTGATAGAATATTGACAAACTGAATATTATAGCTCCATATCCATCCTGATATGGAACCTATCAAATTAAAAGCAAAAATAATATTATTTTAATACTGATTTTAGAACTATAAAATTGGGCTTGGGCTGGCTTAGGTGGTAGAGTACCTGCTTAGCAAGCACCAGGGCCCTAGTTCAAACCCCTGTATCACCAAAAAAAAAAAAATCAAACTATAAAATTCCAAATTTTTCAGATCCAGAGAAAACAAAATAAAAATCTGAATGCAGCATTTGTGGCAAGAAAGTCTTTCCGTGCCACACTTGGAACATGCCAGTGCTGACTGTGAGCGGCTTTAGTCTTCTGTGCAATGATGCAGTGTCCCAAAGCAGACGGCGTAAAAAAAGCTCAGTTTCAGTTCACAGAAGAGCACAGAGGCCTGGGCCACCACAAGGGATTTAATACGGTGAGGTTTGCAATGACAAGTGGAAGTGTTCTTAAAGACACTAATTTTGCCAGGCGTGGTGGTGTACACAGCAGTAATCTCAGCACTCAGGAGACCGAGGGCAGAGTATGTTGAGTTCAAGGCCAGACAAGCTATAGTGAGACTCTAGTCCTCCTCCCACAAAAAAAAAAAAAAAGAAAGAAACCACTGATTTTTTTTTTTACCCAATGAAATGGTTCAGTTACTCCCCAGGGAAAATCAGGCTGTTGCCCCAAGGGAGGACTCCATTTCTGCCACAAGGAAGAAGTGGTGGTTCTTCCTTTATTTCCCCTTTATTTCCTACCCTGATGATAGGCCAACATCCCACTCACTGAGCAGTCCACGGAATCTCATGACAGAAGTACAGCGAACTCTTACTCAGTGCACACAGTCCTGAAGCAATTCTTCTAGACTCCTACTGCTCCATTTTCAACCTCTTCATCCTAGGACCACCTCAGCAGTTTGTACCCCTGTAAGTGTAACTGTGCACATCACTAAGGATGGCTCTATGCTGCCATGACTGAGGAAATTTTAGACTTGAAGATTTAGACTCATGGGGAGTAGTCATTGTCCACAGCTATGGAACTCATATTTCATAAAAAATTAAGTTATCAAGGGCTGCCCATCAGAACTTGCCTGGTCCAGATGAAATCTGCAGTCCAAGTGCTTATGGCTACACAGAGTGTCATAAAAAGACCACAAAGGACAAATATATCAACGTCTCTCTGTGCTCAGTGGAGGACACATGGATAAATATTTCGATAGAAATAACAGTCCTACCACATTTAAGACACCCTGTGTATATTCTGCCTCTGACTTATTTCTGGCCACTGCCCTAGTTTTTGCTGCAGAAACTGTCATTTAACCCCCTATGCTTTCAGATTTAAATCCTGCAGATCTCCAGGCACACTTTCCATTTGGCCTGAGTTCTTTCTGAACCACCTGGCATGCTAGCCCCAAGTTTGAAAGACTCATCAAGGTCTTGAAACTCTTGCCAGAGAACTCCTAGCAACTCTGGAAGGAGTACTACACTCAGGCTACAGAGTTTTCAACAATTCGATTTGCCAAGGAAACCATACCCTATGCTGGTAGGAATGAAGCCAAATCCTATGGGTTTTATTGCCTTTTGCAAGCAGCAATCAGCACACCTGCCTCTCCTGCTGCATAGGGGTGCTGAAAATGTGAATTTGAGCAGGAAGAGGCCATTCCTTCCAACCAGATGTTTGAATTCTGGCCTAATAAGTTCCCTAAGTGGAAAAAACTATGCTCTTTAAAAAACAGACCTCACCATATGCCACCAACTCCAACATCAGCACTGACATGATAGCTTTCCTTTCTTTTTTGTATCTTCACTTTTCTAGGTCTCCTTAAGTTGTGCCTCTCGTGGCCTTTTGTAAAGGAAACACTCTAATTACGAGTATTATTTTGAATTACTTAGATTGCAGACTAAGAAAGGCAATGAAATATAGCAACAATGTTCCCCAATCTTTCTGCCCTAATAATTTCTAATCAAAAGTGAGTGAAATGATTTTTCAAAAAAGTATTTCAGGGAAAATTAAAAGTGGGATATCCTTTAAAAAAAAAAAAAAAAAACCAAAGTCAAAAACAGAATGCTTTTGTGATTTGTGTACCAAAAGAGAATAGAAAAGAATGATGTCAGTGGACTTCAACCTTTCTTATTTATATAGACTTTTAAAGTAGTTTGAAAAACTAAATATTTTTTCACTGGCCAGCTAACATGTAACATTTTTCACCATTAATTTAAAGAATAGCAAAGGATGCAATTTCTATCATATTTAAACACTAACATTTAAAGTAAAATGGTTATTTTATTGATCACTCTATCATACTTCTCTGAAAAAAGAA